GCCACCTCACTTTTTACCCCTTTCTCCAGATCATTTATGAATAAGTTGAATAGGATTGGTCCTAGGACTGACCCTTGGGGAACACCACTAGTTACCCCTCTCCATTCTGAGAATTTACCATTTATTCCTACCCTTTGTTCCCTGTCTTTTAACCAGTTCTCAATCCATGAAAAGACCTTCCCTTTTATCCCATGACAACTTAATTTACGTAAGAGCCTTTGGTAAGGGACCTTGTCAAAGGCTTTCTGGAAATCTAAGTACACTATGTCCACTGGATCCCCCTTGTCCACGTTTGTTGACCCCTTCAAAGAACTCTAATAGATTAGTAAGACACGATTTACCTTTACAGAAACCATGTTGACTTTTGCCCAACAATTTATGTTCTTCTATGTGTCTGACAATTTGATTCTTTACTATTGTTTCGACTAATTTGCCTGGTATGGACGTTAGACTTACCGGTCTGTAATTGCCAGGATCACCTTTTTAAATATTGGCGTTACATTAGCTATCTTCCAGTCATTGGATACAGAAGCCAATGTAAAGGACAGGTTACAAACCATAGTTAATAGTTCCGCAACTTCACATTTGAGTTCTTTTAGAACTCTTGGGTGAATGCCATCTGGTCCCGGTGACTTGTTAATGTTAAGTTTATCAATTAATTCCAAAACCTCCTCTAGTGACACTTCAATCTGTGACAGTTCCTCAGATTTTTCCCCTACAAAAGCCGGCTCAGGTTTGGGAATCTCCCTAACATCCTCAGCCGTGAAGACTGAAGCAAAGAATCCATTTAGTTTCTCCACAATGACTTTATCGTCTTTAAGTGCTCCTTTTGTATCTCGATCATTGAGGGGCTCCACTGGATGGTTAGCAGGCTTCCTGCTTATGATGTACTTAAAAAACATTTTGTTATTACCTTTTGAGTTTTTGGCTAGCCGTTCTTCAAACTCCTCTTTGGCTTTTCTTATTACATTTTTACACTTAATTTGGCAGTGTTTATGCTCCTTTCTATTTACCTCACTAGGATTTGACTTCCACTTTTAAAAGGAAGTCTTTTTATCTCTCACTGCTTTTTTTACATGGTTGTTAAGCCACGGTGGCTCTTTTTTAGTTCTTTTACTGTGTTTCTTAATTTGGGGTGTACATTTAAGTTGGGCCTCTATTATGGTGTCTTTAAAAAGCGCCCATGCAGCTTGCAGGGATTTCACTTTAGTCACTGTACCTTTTAATTTCTGTTTAACTAACGCCCTCATTTTTGCATAGTTCCCCTTTTTGAAATTAAATGCCACAGTATTCGGTTGTTGAGATGTTCTTCCCACCACAGGGATGTTAAATGTTATTATATTATGGTCACTATTTCCAAGCGGTCCTGTTATAGTTACCTCTTGGACCAGCTCCTGCGCTCCACTCAGGACTGAATCGAGCGTTGCCTCTCCCCTTGTGGGTTCCCGTACCAGCTGCTCCAAAAAGCAGTCATTTAAAGTATCGAGAAATTTTATCTCTGCATTTCGTCCTGAGGTGACATGCTCCCAGTCAATATGGGGATAATTGAAATCCCCCACTATTATTGAGTTCTTAATTTTGATAGCTTCTCTAATCTCCCTTAGCATTTCATCATTACTATCACTGTCCTGGTCAGGTGATCGATAATAGATCCCTAATGTTATATTTTTATTAGAGCATGAAATTATATCCATAGAGATTCTATGGAACATGTGGATTCACTTAAGATTTTTACTTCATTTGATTCTACATTTTCTTTCACATATAGTGCTGCCACCCCTCCCCCGCTCTCCCCCCGCATGACCTGTTCTGTCCTTCCGATATATTTTGTACCCCGGAATGATTGTGTCCCATTGATTATCCTCAGTCCACCAGGTTTCTGTGATGCCTATTATATCAATATCCTCCTTTATCACGAGACACTCTAGTTCACCCATCTTATTATTTAGACTTCTAGCATTTGTGTACAAGCACTTTAAAAACTTGTCATTGTTTATTTGTCTGCCCTTTTCTGATGTGTCCAATTCTTTATGTGAATGTTTCTCGTCTGATCTGGCCCTTACATTATCCTCTTCCATCCTCTGCTCCTGACTATAACCTAGAGAATCTCTATCAATAGAAAGCAACAGAGGGTCCTGTGGCACCTTTAAGACTAACAGAAGTATTGGGAGCATAAGCTTTCATGGGTAACCTCACTTCTTCAGATGCAAGTAATGGAAATTTCCAGAGGCAGGTATCAGTATGGAGATAACGATGTTAGTTCAATCAGGGAGGGTGAGGTGCTCTACTAGCAGTTGAGGTGTGAACACCAAGGGAGGAAAAACTGCTTCTGTAGTTGGTTAGCCATTCACAGTCTTTGTTTAATCCTGATCTGATGGTGTCAAATTTGCAAATGAACTGGAGCTCAGCAGTTTCTCTTTGGAGTCTGGTCTTGAAGTT